CTCGCGACTCTCCTGCGGCCGGCACAGATGGGGTTCACCGACAACTCGGTTTACTTTGGCGATTGCTTCTTTCTTCTCATCCATCCTGTGAGTCAGACTTATCGCGATAACGGCGGAAGGGCGTGGCACAGGCTATTACACTGATAACTCGTGCTCTTTTCGAGCGCGCACGCCATGCGGGGATTATAACGCTCTTCCGCAGCCGCTACTTCTGAGAATAACGCGATCGGAAGAGCAAAATCCCCGCGGAGGAGGATCCAACGCAAGGTCCTGCCGTCGCGGGACTTTTTCGGGAATTGCATATCGACCAGCCCGCACGTCAATTTGCACGAGAACAACGAGGCTCCGGACGATTTTCCGGGCGCAGATTCTGGTCGAAAGCTGCGTCATGCGCGTCTATTAACTCGACCATTCTTATCGGGAAATCTCCAATCAAAAGATCAACTCTCGATTGCGCGGATAACAAGCGGAGCAGCGTGCCGGCGGTGAGTCGCGAACGATAATGAGGAGCAAGGCGTAAGAGCAGCGCAGAGTCAAAGACACAAAGGCGCGGAATATACGAGACGGTCAAGCTGCGGGTAGAGTTTCCAATCCCGGATACAATTTAGGATCCCGGGATTTCGGGACTTTTTAGACTCCATCCCAGGATCCCGGAACTAGTCCCGGGATTATATATATGTAAATAAAGAAACAAGGAATATTTACAAATAATAGAATTATTTTATTTATAGAACGTTCATATATAGGCTTTTATGAACATTATGACAAACAAAAATGAAATTTCAGTAAAGATGAAAGCAACTTACATTAATGATTGCATAAAAATCGTTATAATTGAAAATTAAAGTTTTCGTAGTAAAAGTAAAAATAATTATTTCTTCTCTTTCACATTTCACGGAAAAGCGACTTTAAAAATAACAAGACATAAATTTTATGCTGCGCCGGTTTATCCGCGAAATTTAAAATAGAAAACTCTCTCAATATTTAAAACAAATGTAATACATGGAATTAAATTTAAAATATAAATACACATTTCTCTAGCAAATGCTCTGAAATAATCAGTAATAAATAATAATAATTATTAAAGTAAAACTTTTGTAAAACGTAAGTATTATATAGACACTAAGCGCTTAAATTTTGAAATCCCGAAATCCCGGGATTTGTGATGTTGAATCCCAAGTATTATATTTTCGGGACCAAAAATTTGGCCGGGATCCCGGGATTGGAAACTCTAGCTGCGGTTTTTGCCACGCCGCGCCTTTCTCCGCGGCCGATTGGCGGCGAATCGTAACGCGCGGTAATGCGCGATAATAATGAAAACAATCTTCGCGACGCTCGATAAAAGCGTACCGTTCGCCGATCGATCTCGCTGCTGCTCTCAATCAGACCCGTACGATGTATTTCCTCGCGAACTGCACGAAAATACGCGCGCATGGGGAAAACAGTCGTCACTTTGTGCGAACGAAAACTCGGCGGCGAGAAGTGATATCTCTGTCCAGCCCGCGGAGCTGGCGTAAACATTCGTCTGCGCGCTCAGCTGCGTTAAAACTCAATTAAGAGATAACCGAGGACGGTTGACTGCAGCGAGCGGAAGTCTTTCTATCCCTGCAGCCGAGTTTTCGTCTGGCCCGCAGGTAGCGGTACCATCCAGCTGCACTAACGGACTTGTTTCCTCCGTGCGCAAACGAAAACTACGCACAGGAGAAGGTCGCGGCGCAGTTCTCGTGGCTGGACAGAGGATCGGACGGAAAATCGGTGACTCGAAAGCGGTATCTCTCGGTCGAACCATGTCCGACTGCTTCGAAATTTCATTGAGACCTAACCGAGAGTCAACCGACAAGGAAACATAGGAAACTCGGAAGTTCAAAAAGTTACGAAAGTTATGGTGTGGAAGTAAATTGGAAAATTTTTGAAATCCCCTCCGCCCTCCGCCATTTTTGCAAAATCTGGATACACAGTTGCAAATAGTAATGAAATACACTACAACTTTCATACAAGCCATGTTTGCATACGCCTCGTATTTTGAGAGGTATATACGCTAGTATAATAAGTGAAAATGGTTTCTTTTCCGAAGGGTGATTTCACCCCCTTCAAATTCCGCACGAATAAAAAACAGTTTTGCATTACGGATGAACTACTTCACTTCCACACAAAGTTTCAAAATTTGTTTTTAATTCCCGGCTTCCCTACCTTTCCTGGTGAGTAAAAATCTCCTAGAGGAATGTCTTTGTGCTTCTGCAATTTTTGTCTCGTCAGACAGCAGCAATTCAGTCAGACGAGCCGAATATTTCGTTCAGGATATTTTTGCAGAATGCGAGAGCCTTCGAGAATGGCGTTTCACCTCTTCCCGTCTTCAGTGCGAAATGTACGAGATACACCTCGACATTTCGCTCATTGTCAAATCCAACGCCTCTTTTCGCTTTCGTGCTCGCTTCTGCACGCCTCGCGTCTTCGAGCTCGATCCATTCGCTCGCTTACATAAGATTCACCTCGTTGAAGGAAGGAAAAGGAAAAAAACCACATGGTCGCACATCGCGTACGCGACGAACAAACGACGGAAACCCGTCGTTACCATTACAATGTTACAATGAGATCCAGCCGGATCGGCCCGAAGGTCTCGAAAGTAAGCGACTCAACACGCTTCGATCCGCGACGGACACGATCGCGCAGGTAAATCGAGAGTAAATCAAGACGTCGTCGTGGTAAGTCAGTCGACCCTAAAAATCGCGCAACGCTCTACTAATGAGGAACGGTCTTTCTTACGGCGCCGTGCAGTCTTCGGCTCGTACGCGATCACCGGTCGGCGTGCTGGCCTATCAATCGTCACTTTCCGGTTCGTTTATGCGTAACGCGGCGTTCCAACGGCGATATTCGCGATATTCCCTCAATCGTCGAGGTCATGCAAGAACGCGGGAAGCGGGAAACCGCAGAGTCACATCGCGGTCAGGAGAGAAAAATTAATCAATCATCAGGGAGAATCACCGACGGTCCGCTAACCCGTTAACTTCTTCGATCGGTAATCGTTTTTCTCCCTCCTTTCTTCGAGCCTTTCATCAAAACCGTGTAATCGGACGTATTAATCATACTGTCTAATTAGAATTATTTTTCCGCGGGCCACGCTGTGTGCTACCTCGATTGCTCTCTCGCGCTGCCAACGCTCCGACGCTGTAATTATTTGATCTGCCGAAGCGGAGGGCGAACGTTTTATCTCTTTCTCACGCGCGAGTGATCGCAGACTGTTTTAATGCAACCTTTCGTACACGTTGCGTACAATTTGCCGATGCGCGAGGCGCCCTTTTTCGTTCACGTCCGGATAGAAACAAAGAGAGAGAGAGAGAGAGAGAGAGAGAGAGAGAGAGAGAGAGAGAGAGAGGGGGGGAGAGAGAGAGAGAGAAAGAAGGGGAGAGAGAGAGAGAGAAAGAGAGAGAGAGAGAGAGAGAGAGAGAGAGAGAGAGAGAGAGAGATCTCTGGGGAAGGACCGCAATCTCAATTCCCAAGAGAATCCAAAGGCTGACGCGCGGGCTCCTGCACAAAGGAGTCTCTGAGTTCGAAATAATAACTACGCCCGTCAGTCGCAACTCGCAACTCGCAACTCGTCCGCGGGCGGACTCTTCTGGAACGCTGCGACCAAGCGAGATCAGAGAGCGCGCCTCGCCTCTACGAGCACGTACACCTTGCTTTGCACACACACACACACACACACACACACACACACACAGTGCATACTTGACGTTTAGTAACCGTACGGCTCGCGTGTCACGTTGATACGATACCGAGAACGATTCTCGATACCGGGCAGATAGAATTTACAACCGAATGGCGCGCTTCAGCACGCACGCGCGACGGGCTTTCGAAAAAGGTCGCCGCTGTTCTCGCCGCCGCGATCGCGCATTCAACGCTGAATGCGCTGAATGTGCAGTTTCGAATTTAATCCAGGCAGACGGCGCCGCGCCGCGCCGCGCCGTACGCTCGGGGGATGCGCACAAAGCAGAGAAATCAAACAGCTGCATTTAGCGGCGAGACAGAGTGCGCGGGATGAGAATACGGTCTCCTTTATTCCCGCTCTAAATGCAGAATCAACGCCGCGCGGCGACGCTAACGTCCCCGCCGCGCGACGGCCGTGTTTACGCACGCACGCACGCACGAATTATAGATATCGCGCTCGGCATGGCGCACGGTGCATTTTTGCGGAATCGCGGCTGCGTGCGCGTCGTCGCGGTGTCGACGTGACCTCGCTTTTAAAGCTTGGGAACGTTCGGTTTGAAAGCCGACCTTGGGGACGCGCGACGCGCACGTGACGCGCGCGAACGTGAGCGTCACAAGAGAGCCCTTTCATCTTCAATTATTTCGCTCGCGTCACTTGACGGAAAACGGCCGCCGGGCATTGAGAAACGCGACCAACGCAATTTCGCCGCCCCGTTTTCGACGAGAAAAAGAGGAAGACGTCAAAAGCGCCTCGCATCAAAGTTCCTTAAGAAATGTAACAGAATGAACCGCTGACGATTAAGCGGAGAGAGAGAGAGAGAGAGAGAGAGGGTGGGGGGGAGGGAGGGACAGAGCACACGCTATAAATACGCGGCGACGCGCGCGCATTCTCGCCGCGGTCCTGAAATACTGCGATATAACGAAATGTCCATACGACAAATTGCACTTGTCCTAACGAGACCTCGTAGCACGCGCGTAGTCGCGTTTCACTTTCGCCGCGGGAAGAGGAGCAAGAGCGAGAGAGAGAGAGAGAGAGAGAGAGAGAGATGCAGCGCTTGTAGTTTCAAAACCGCGGCTCGGAAAGCCGCGGCCGGAAGTGAAATAGAGAAAAACGTGTTGGAAGTCGTAGACGTCGGGACACCCTGTAAAGCCTCGGCTATTTTCTTCGAAGGGGACCAGCCTCTTTCTTCACTCCGTCGCCTTCTCACCCTCCACCTCCGCCTCCTCTCCTCTCACTTCTTCCACCCTCCCTGCCGCCCCGCGACCCTCGCGGTCCCTACCGCGAAGCCGCTTACCTCACGCTGCAGGATCTTCCCGGTTTGGAGGTCATTGCACTGCGGCGGGTGGTCGTTGCGGCGGGGTGATGGTCGGTGGTGGCGAATCGATTTTCCATGACAACGTGCGACGTCGTTCGCTGGAGGTCGCCTTCCTTCCTCCCTTCCTCCTGGTCCGGCTGCCCCTGCTCGCCTCGTCCCTCGCTCCACCGCGCCCGTCCGCGACGCGTTCTCCTCGTGGCACGTGATCAGGACGTGAACTTTGCTCTTACTCGACCGAAGAGTGCATCCTCTTCAAGATACAGGTCGATCGATAGTTCTCTGCCACTTCCTCGTCGGTCGCGCCTTCGTGGTCCCCTCACGCCGACTCGAAGGTGTCCAAGCGACACCTGACGAAACTCGAATTTGGGAGCCTCAGGGTAGCCGACATTGTCCCGGAACGGATGTGAACGCGACTGACAAGAGTGCGTCTCGACGAGCAGGTTCGACGATCGCGAACTGAGAGCGAGGGTGGGTGAAAGGGAGGGGCAGGTGTCTCTCCTCAAGGCCGCCGGTTCCTCGCGTCACGATTCGGGAACTCGTGACGCGAATTCGCTAAATTCGCTATCTCGGCCCGACGTAGGCTTGATACGCGAACAGTTCGCACGACAGAATCCAATGTCACGGCGATGGTGACGTGATCGTTTCTGTTTGCACGGGCATTTATGGTCGAGCGAGGTTCATCGAAGCGTGCTTGTTTGTGTACTTCCCCCTTCTTCCTCGTGCTTTTTCGATGGCTCTTTCACCTTCTTCTCCTTGCCGTAGAGGAGGAGCTCGGTGAACTCGGTCGTGTCGCGACGCGACGCGACGTATCGTGTCGCGGCGTCGTCTCGCCTCGCGCGGTTCCACGTCGGGGAATCCCGAAGAGATCGATGCGCACAGCGAACCCTCTCTCGCGACTGTCGACTCGCGGTAGCAAAAAGAATTCACGTGACCGTCGCGAATCGCGAGTCGTTTCCGATTTCTCCGACGATCTCCACGGATTCGTTAAGGATTCTTTGCGGACCGCTTTTGCGAGAGCTTTTGTTCCGGAGATTCACGGATAAGCAATTCTTAGAGACCGCTCGCGAGACCGCAGTACACCCAAAGTCGACGGCAAAACGACGATCCGTTGAGAAAAGAAGCGCTTGGCGACGAGCGATTGAATTATTGCAGGAACAAACTTGCCCGCAAACAGCTGTTTACGTTACGTCTTTGCGCGCGCGTGTGTGTGTGTGTGTGTGTGTGTGTGTGTGTGTGGGTGTGTGGAACGATCAATGTCATCGCATGCGTTTACGCGACATGCGAGAACGTAACCTATATGTGTGTGTGTGTGTGTGTGTGTGTGAACACGACGCCGCGCACCAACACACGCTTCGACCGCTTCGGCGGGGTTTCACGCCGGGTTTAACCCCGACGAACACTCCGACGATACTGCCGACGTTCACGTTCACGACGGCTTCTCGTTCACGTGGTGGTCGCGACCTCTCCGGCATCCACGAGCGGAATGGTGAACGAGAGACGGTGCCGAGGTCGGGCCGAGTGAGGCGCGTAAAGTGGCTCTCTCGTGGCGCCGGGGGGTGATTCTCGCGTGCCGGCGCGTCGCCGCCGCCGTCGCCGTCGCGCTGCCAGTCGCGTTGCTGCAATACGCTGCAACTACCCGCGGTTACACCACGTTTTACTCCTATCGACCGTATCGCACTGCGACGAGGAATCGGACTGGCCGCCGAGCCGCGTGCCGCGCAGGTTTCATAAGTGCTCGGGAGCGCGCGCAGGCTCGCTCGCGAGCGGCACTACTATGAAGCGCAGGTGGCGCCGAATTAGACGCTCGTAAATGTCACCTCTCGTCGCCGACGTTCGCCGCTGGATACCGTTTCCGTGTGTTAATCAACGAAGTCATAATTAAATTCTCCCTCGCTCCTTGATCGACTAACAAATGCGCAGAGTATTCTCTCCCAGAACGGGAAATTCCATCAAAAGTACACTCGGAGAAATGCAACAGAATATCTCCCTCCTCTCCCCCTTTCTCCCTCTCTCTCTCTCTCTCTCTCTCTCTCTCTCTCTCTCTCTCTGCCACACAGTTCGAATAAGTCTAGCGATCGGCACATTCGTACCTGACTACGAAGAAACAGCGAAAGAGGAAAAGAAGCTGTAAAACATTTGACGGACACTTTTTCATGTCCTTTTACCGCAGACGAGAGAAACCACCCCTTTGCTTGAATCAAATTTGAGTGAAGTATGAAAGTAAAAGGAACGAGGGGAAGAGGTTGCGAAAGTCTGAAATAATTACAATTACGGACAGTCTTAACGAGAGAGGCTAGCAACGTCGAGGTGACTGAAGGAATCGACAGGATTATCCGCGCAATTCGCACGTTTATCCTTCACTCATTGTCGACGCGTGCGCCGAGACGCAGGCAGACGCGACGTTACCGCGTCGAATCCGCAGCTCGTCGACGGCCGGCCAATTACGGACCGCATTGGCCGCATTAAGGAGACTGGAGGGTCAGATTACTGAAAAATCGTGCTTACTTTTCATAATATTTCGTGACGAACTGAACAAATGTGCAAGAATGAAAATTTTAGATAAATTTTATATTTATAACATATGAAGAGTAGAGAAATTTTGTTTACTAACAAATACTCATGTAAATATACGTCCACTTAAATTTTAAACGCTGTCTCTCTCGAAATTTTATTGTTCAACTTTTCGCAATGATTTCTCCGAAATTGAGCTTCGTATCGATTTGAAATTTTAAAGCAATAATATTTGTTCATCTGGCTCTCAGATGAACCATGGACAATTACATCAAAATATTTCATTTCGAGATATTAATTTTTTTATCGTAAGAAGACTGAAAAATTTGGATTTTCTCCTAATAATAGCCGTCATTTTGTTAATTTTGTTCGATCTTCTTTTTGTAACGGTTCACCGGATAATGATAAGCCTCCTCAAGATTCCTGACTAAAATTCGCTCTGATCGGACCACCGAGAGCCGAGGTATTACTGCAAAAACGACAACTTCCAAACAAAAAGGAGAGTATATTTCAACCATATATATCGTACATTTATACGAGTATTTGTTAATAAACAAAATTTTTCTACTCTTCATACGTTGTCATATAAATATGCCTAAAATTTTCATCCTTGCACATTTATTCCGTCAGTCCGTCACAAAATATTATCAAAAACGAACACAATTTTTCAGCAATCTGACTCTCCAGTCCCCTTAAGGCCCCTTAAGGACGGTATCGCGCCAGAGACCGATCCCGCCATCTCGATCGATTTCCGTCCCGAGATCTGCACCCCCGCGTGGCCGCGCGCGGCGACGCTCTAACGGCCGCTAATTACCAGCGACGACGCTCCGAGTCACATCGATGAGGGACAATTAACGCGTCCGCGCGCGCGCAATAACAATCACGCCGCGCGCGCGGTCGCGCGCCGTCAAGACGCGGCGGGGGCGTTATTTAACGCGAGACGCGCGACGGCGAGGCCGGCGATGACGAGATACGCGAGCCGCTCATTGTGATTAGGTGGCGAGAGAGACCGCGCTAAATGAATGCCGCGTTTATAACCACGCGCCATGACCAGCAGAAGTCTGGAATCTGGCTGTCCGCCACATAACTCGCGGCACGGAGCGCGGCGAGAGAGGATCGATCGCGGCCGGGGTTGCCTCGTGATCTCGTCACTTCTCGCCGAAGGACTCCGATGCTCCTCGTTGCGCCTGTCCGATCCCGCGTGAAGAGAGTACTCTTCGCCGGGTCCTTCAGCGACATTTTTCGCCGTCTCCATCCGACGGCCGAGGGATTAAACGATGCGAGAGCACTTTTGCCCGGCATCTCCCCCCTCCATGCCGCATTCTCTCGACGCGACATCCGGGTCCTTAAATCTCGTTCGCGATACCGCGGGCTCGAGGACTCTTCGTCCTCGAGCGGGTGAGAAGTCGCGGTCGGACGCGCGTGAGTTATAACCCGCATAAATTTACACGCCGAGCGCTTTTGCCGTGACATCGCGCGCGCGCGCGCGGCCGCGCTAAAATCCGCGGAAGAGCGAATGTTTCCGCTGCGATGCGCATGGTGGAGTATAACAATCCTGACAATACCGCGGGCGCGGGAGCGGAAACGCAAAAGGAAGGCAGACGCCGCGCGTAACGCCGCGGCGATTTCGCGCGCGGAGTATTCTAAATCGCGCGCGGCACTCGGACGCGCGCGCGTGTCGCCGAAAACAAACGCGACCGACGCGAGATTACGCGGAATGTCGCGATGAATTTCTGACCCGAGGGGGTCTCTCTCTCTCTCTCTCTCTCTCTCTCTCTCTCTCTCTCTCTCTCTCTCTCTCTCTCCCTCCCTCCCTCCCTAACTAGCGCATCGTCGAGAGAGCTATTCCAGCCGGAGGGGACGGGACGCGCCGCGCCCGAGAATTCGCGATATGCGCGAGCCGCCGGGGAAGGTTGGGCGATGGCACATACAAATTGCACCGAAAGATAACACTCGCACAGCGCGGTCGTCGCTTCTCCTCGACTCCTCGCGAGAGAGCGAGTCACCCTGTGGACGTTCTCGCTCGGGAAGGAAGAAGAAAAAAAAAAGCAGACGGGAACGCGACGAGAAACGCGCGGGGAAACGCAAAAGCGGCAAAGTCCACTCGAGTACGAGCCGCGCGCGCGGTGTCGTCTCGCGACACGGAATTCCATTCGCTTCGCGGTTACATCGTTGCGGGAACACGTCAGCTTCGCGGCCGGTATTACGACGTTAGCCATCGCCGACGTGCGAAATCGAGTGAAGCTGAAGGAGGTAAGCGCGGTAAGCGCGTCTTCCGGGGCGTCTCTCGCGAGAGACGGGCAAAAGCGAGAGGGTGCGAGAGCGCGCGCTGTGAAGACTATGTTGAGACTCGGGACATTCACACGTCAGGTCCGTTGAAATGCGACGGCGATAAGTTCCCTCGATTGGCCGCGAAGCGAGCCGCGCGCCCGCTGTGTGTGATCATTATAAATTACGCGTAATGGTGCTAGGCTGAAAACAGCACCACACGGCAGCCCGGGACTATGCGGAATGTTGTGCCGCAGATCGTCGAGGCGGATGCTTCCTTGAATTATGGCCGCGGGTCTACCTCCGCCGGTCGTTTCTCTCCGCGCTTGCAAGACCAATTGGATTTGAACACGTGTATTCAAAGTTAGAACCGCGCTGCCGTGTCTCTGTCGTGTTACGCGCGGATGTGCTCCAAGTCGCGCGCGTTCTCCCGAACCGCGCCCTTCGCGCGCGCGCGCGCGCACCAGGAATCGAATCGTCGTCGACGATATAATTCGTCGTGGTCTTCGTCTTCGTGATGTAGCAAATCTCACGCCGCGCTCGCTCTTCGCAGCGCGTCTATCGATCGGTCCCCATGTGACCGATACGCATGAGCGAAGTACGTTCTTATTGACTTTGGCCGCTCCGAGAGAGAGAGAGAGAGAGAGGCTCGCCGTGCGCGCTTTTCACTTTCCGCGCCGTTGCGGCGATTGAACGCGGTTGACGTTCGCGGAAACGACACCCCACGATCTTCGATCGTCTCGTCTCGCTCGTCGGGGCTCGTCGCTTTTCCTTCGCTCGCGAATCGCGCGAATAAATGCGCCTCGATTTCGGCGACCGACACGCGTCTGAGATAACATCGCGATCAACGTCGCGCCGGAAAATTCATGCCGGACGACAACGGCGTAATTTAGGCGCCACATAAATCCACGGACATTGTCGGCCGGTCGGTGGTCAAAGATGAAGTCGCGCTCGACTCGAGGTTTCGCGCATACCGTAAGCGGGATTCCAGAGCGGCGGCGGCGGCGGCGGCGGCGGCGGCGGCCGCGTACACGCGCTCTCCCGCTCCCCCCCGGGGAACCACAAAGAAAGTCGGCTGGAATGCCGGGAGAGTCGCAGACGCGTAAATCGCTCGGCCCTCTCTCGTGCGCATAGGTGCGCACACGCTCGTGTAAATATAGAACGCGTCCCGAAATATGTCTTTCAGTCCGCACTTAAAATCGTCGCTTCCGCCGGCGATCCGTCGGGGTTTCCACCACCTAAAGGGCCGCACTCGAGATCGCCGGCGCGCGCTCGTGTCTTCTTCAACTCAACGCGACGCGACGCCTCGCCTCATGCCTCGATCGATCGCTCGATCCTAGAGATCCATCACCTCGGGAAACGCCACATATTTTCTCGCGGTCCAGCTACTCGAATTCGACTCGCGGTCTGGACGAAAATAACGTCGCTCGCGATTCGAGTCCTCGCGCGCGGCCTTCGCGAGCTACGAACTTCGGACGTTTCGCGCGGCGTTGGATCGTCAGTCGAAGTCGTAATTCCCATTCGCTCGAAGAGCCGGGAGATTTCTGAAGGAAGCGATAGGCAAAGAAGAGGCACTATCGATCCGCGCGATCATTCAGGCGTGAAGCCAGTGTCTTAGCACGATAGGTAGATCGGAGCCCCGATCGAGCGGAGGCCGCAGGGTTAACGGTGCATGAGCCCATTGATCTCGGATTTATTCGGTCCGTGTCGCGATAGATCCGTCTGTTTCAGTCTGTACGAATCGTGCAGCGTCATTGAAGAAAGTACGTGAGAATAATAACAATAATTTTGCGGCAACTCCGGAACACTCTCTCTCTTCCTCTCTAAACCGGAACCGTGCGGAGGGACGAAGAAAAGTCGATCGCGTCATAAAAAATAGCTGAGATAAAGTAAAGGCTGACTTACTTCTTGGCTTGGCT